GAAAATATATTTAATATAGCCACCCAATCACTGTCACGGGAGTCTGGCAAATCAATCAGGAAACACTTGTAACTGTGATTATTTACTTGAAATAGTATTTACATTCAGGAATTTGTGTTTTAGTGGAAAATTTGGAACTATATAAAGTTGCTTGTTCCTCGTCAAATATTTGTTGACTAAATTAAACAACTCATTTTTTTAACTGGAGTGCGGTAATGATGATTTGTTACATCTTCGATCATTAGGGTCGGACCATTTAGAAATAGGGGGTATTTAAAAAATATAAAAGTGACCGACGTGTATGGGTTCAGCAAAAAAAAATAGTTGAAAACAAAGAATGCTCTATTTTTATTTTAATGTATGAGTAGGGTTTTTTTGTTTAGAGTGTTTACTAGGTTTGATGTGTTGAAGACAATTCGTATACTTATGCCTATAATGTTCCAGCTGACATCAGGTCTTGTGTTCAATTATGAGAATTACCCCCATTCTGTAACCAGTACACAAACAAGCATCCTGAACTCCTGCATTCGGGCGAACCAACATCCAACCTAAAATCACCGGCAACTAATCACTGGATAAATCAAGAATGTGTGCGTATATACATTATAAAACACACGCTACTCAAAAGAACTTGACTACATCGCGAAATACTAGTATTTTGGTTTGAAAATCAACTAAATTGATCTCCTATTGACATATAGAGAAATGTTATGTATTGGATCAACTGAAAGGTCATGAAATATTGATTGAATAGATTTAGACGTCATAGCATCGATAAAATATGTATATTTTATATTTTGAAATAGGTTATATAAAAAAAAAAAGTACAAGCCACCATTATAATCTATGGACCGAAATAGAATTGGTTTGTAGGATAAATGAGAAGGTCTTTAATTACCTCATTAACCATATGCAAATCTAATTGTTTTTGTATGAAAAACGCTATACACATCTCATGTGTGAAAGACAGACAGATATACAAGAGAGCTTGTTAAGCTAATTTGATTAATAATTAACTTTTTTAGATTGTTTCTTCTATATATTAACGACGGTTTGCTCCGAATGGTTGAAATTTGGTACATGCACGCATACGTTAATAACAAAAAAATGTCCCACCCCCAAAAACAGATGAAATAAGCTGTTTTATATTTTACTTATTCTTTTAGATATCTTGCTATTTTTCTCAGTAAACGGCTGCAGATTTTGTTGATAGTATTGAAAATACATTATCAATTGGAAACCTTCTCCAGACAGTTTGCAAGTATATTGATAGCAAGATGTAGTTTTTGGTATTGTTAACATATTTTGAAATAATTTTGCATGCAACTATTTAGAATATGACCAGCCGTTTTTAGGGAATTCATTAAGAAAGTTGAATTGTTGAAAGACCATTTTTTTTTTTTAAATATTTCACAAGAATACATATTTAAAGAATGAAGGTCAGATAGTTCGAGACTATTTCAAGCGAGACAATCAGAAATTACAACACCACACTCTATCATTAAAATGCATTCCTATATTTCACACATATGTTTAGAGCAGATTGTTTTTTTTTGTTTTGTTTTTTGTTCTGTTACAGCATATCCCTTATTTTTGTTGATTATATCTATGACGGTGATAATCTGGAATCTAAAAATCCCCAAAGTAAGGTTCCAAAAATACTAATAAATATAGTTTCCATTGTCAGTATTTTGTATAACCTATCAGTATTTAATTTATGAAAGTTAAGGTACCGAACTACTTTTTTCACAAACAATGCGCTGATCACCCATTAATATGAGCCATTTACCATTTATCGGTCTCTGTGGTGACAAGTTTTGTCATATCTAAAAATTGTGATAGGGTAGATGAAAAACAAATTATATGTAGTTATTAGATTGATAATCATGGTTGTCACGAATTTCTAAAAAGTATTATGTATATTTTTATGAAATAATGCTTTAACATGATTTCCCATGAAAAGAGTTCTAAAAACGTTTTAATTTTTACAATATTTTGTACAAGTTAAACAATGCTCAAACGTTGACGACTTGTGTCTAAAAACAATATTATGTAACACGTTGGAAATATTCGAATGGGAAAATAAAAACAAAACTGTTCTTATGTAATGGAATCAATATTTTTTTTAGATTTTAAACTTTACAATCATTTTAACCATTTAGATCGATTTGCTTTCTTTATGCTTGTCTGCATAATTGAAAAGATTTATCAACAGATCCACACGTAGTTTCCCTTGTTGTAGAGTCAGAGAATTGCATGATGGATCAGAAAACTAATCAGCTACAACATAACTATTGGTAATGCGACTAGTACTGGATGTAGTGAAGTTGATATGACAGTACTCATTCATAAACCTTGAAAGAGAAAACTCACGGACATAGACGATACCATCTACTTCGGGTAAACACAGATTGCGCCAACAGTACATATTCTAACCGATTCAAAACGTTATATGAAAAAGCCTCTATGACTATTTTAACTTCAAGGCACTTCGCAGATTTTGAATTTGGATTATTAAGAGTGGATTCTAAAACAACAAATTACAGACTGTCTTGTTAGTATTATTGCTGGCATTTTATATCAATAATAACAAATAAAAAACAAAGCAGATATAAACACAAAAAAACAAGCCCCTCAAGAACTTCATAGCTAGGATACCATACACAGTCACATTAGCCACTTATTTTCAGTAGAGTCCTAACATCACACCCACTGTAAACACCAACATACACAACAATACAAAATACAATACACATCCAAGACATTAATAAACACGACCAATTACAATTCGAATTTGTATGTGAAAATAACTATAGAATTACACAACGAACGTCAAATATAAACTCGGAAATTACCTAACCAAATTTGCCAAGTGTTTCTTCACTGTGTGTTTAAAACGCAATTGATCACTTAATATTTTTAACTAATTCGTAGTAATTTATTCAATTCTCTGCCTGATATTTTTAGGACACAATCGTTCCCCTGGTGTTATATGAATGTAAATTATTTATGTTTTTCACATCCAAAATATTTACTTTACCCCGTTCTGCCCCACAATTATTCGGGGAGACAGATTAAGATTAAATCTGATCTTTTTAGTCTGATATGTAGCTTTTTTTTTCCTCAAGAGACTTTGTCAATGATGTCATGGGGTTGAAGTGTGGATGAACATATTCAGAATCGATGACACCTGACAGATGACAGGCCATTATCAGTTATGACATTTAGAGAGTTTTTTACTTAGAATAGTTGATATTTGTACAAATCTCATCTCCGAAATTTACGCTGATGTGAAGAAAGTTAAAGTAACATAAAAAATATTGAGGGGCCAAGTATACCTTTTTGAGGGACACCTCCCATTAATTTTAATTTATTACATAAAATGGAATAGTCGACCGCATCAAAGGCCCAGCATAAACCATTTTGACCAAATATTTCTCAAGTTGTATACAAACTTTCTCAAGCACTTTAGAATTAAAGCTAAGAATACTAACTGGGCGATAGTTCCCAGCGTGTGTTCTAGAGCTCTTTTTGTAACAATTGCTTGCTTGGCCATTTTAAACTATTTAAGTAGTGTATTGTTTTTTTTTACAAAACGATTAATCAATTCATGGAAGGTACTAACGTTAGTACCTTCCATGATCAATTATATATGCAATAGCCTGTGACGTAGCAGAATCACCAGTATTTTTAAAAATATCCTGCTCACTAACAGGCTTCAGTTAAAAACAACTTTAGTTTTATTTTATTCCTGTACAGATTCCAAAGAATATCCGAATTAGCGCTAGGTTTATTCGTTGAAGCGGTCAACTTACTTGGCAGATGCGAGGCTACATTAACATGTTTAGCTACTGCCGCTACACAAATTGCCGTCGATTTCTAAAATTATCTTATTATCGCATTTAGAGATGTTCTAAATTGTTGTCTTCGTACACTTCTTGTGACTACTGAATGTAATTTCACATAATGCTCTTCAAATATCATATCATATGGACCCACGTTCATTGATGAATATTCAAGACAATGACCTATACGAGAGGAGGTACAGTTGGAATGGGCGAATGCAGCAAAAAGTGAAGTGAGGTATCGCATCCATAAACTTGAGTCACGTGTTAAAGCGCGGTGGTCGTAGCGCAGCGCGTGTTCGAATTTCATGTAAATAAACAATGTATTTTACACGCGTTGTATACTCGCTATGAGTCCCATATCGAACAGGACGCGGCACGACGACCACCGCCCTTTAACAGATGACCAAAGTATGTATTCAAAAATCCTGGTACACTATATGGTATATATGTTGATGTCCCCACAAAAAAAAACAATATAGGGAATAACAATTCTACTACAATTCTACAAACCAACATCTCTTAGCATGAATGCAATTTTTACTTGTCACAAGACAATCATTATGTGAACGGATGAGTTGCTCAGCTTGTATCTGATACGTACACTCGGTCATTTAAATGTTTAGACAAGTTGTCAACAATCTTAACATTTATTTTAACTTTTGTCCACTTGCTAGAAGTGGAGAAATTGCAATAAATAAGACTTCGAGTGTAACTTCATTTCAGCATTTAAACAATTTACATGTGAATCAGACATTCTATAAACGCTACTAAACATGTTGCTATAACAACCTAAACATAATCTTAAATATATACGAATACGGCCGTGTCTATGCCGTACCAAAAGAGGTTACGTAGTCTAT